TTTGTTTTCAGGTGTTCTTTCACTTGACTCACTGCTAAAAGGAGAAGTCTTCATTCCTCTTCACATCTATTAAAAAACTTTTTTTTTTTTTGGGGAGGGGGGTGTCAGCAAAGCAAAACAAACAAACCACACCCCAAAACCTCAATATTTCCTTACAAAAAAAAAAAAAAGATAATAGGTTCTGTTCAAAAACCCCCAGTCCTGTGACACGTTGTTTTTCATCCTCTTGTGGTAATGAAGAAGCCCCTAGTTCCTCCAGAACCCCTCAGTAATCAGTGCACTGGCTGTGTCTGCCTAAATCAACTGATCTTCTGTCAGATTTGCACGTGGATTTTCATCTTTGGAATGTGCCTCTTCATCCCCTTGCATTCAGGAGCTGAGAGTGACCAGTTTGTGGGTCCCAAATGCAGGTGGAGTAAATATTCCAAGAGTGGGCAATCACAGATGGCAGACTCTGTCTCTGGGGCCAGCCTGGCCCTCTCAGTGCCACAGCAGCGTTCCTGCTCTCTGCATTCCCTGCTCTCAGTTTGGGTGCCAGCCCTCCCTCCTCTCCATGAGCACACACAGACCAAAGACCAGAATTGCAGGAAATGAACAGAGGCAACAAGAGGTGAGAGGAAAAAATTCACAAAGGCCACAAACCCCTGCTTCCTTTCCACCTTGTACTTTTTCCCCTCTGCTGCACAAAAAGCTGCAGCTGCAGAGTCTCCTCATCGTTTTCCACTCACCTAAACAAGCTCTCTACCCCGACCTGACTCACGCACTTCTTTTCGCCATGTTGAGCTTTGCGGTGATTTTTTTGTGTCAGTTTGTAGCTCTCAAACCTGTTCCATTCTGTGGCTATAAACTGACTTTTTTTTGTTTCCCTGCTGTGCTGTAGATGCCAAGTCGGAGGCCATGCCAAGGCTTTGTACTTTACAATGGAAGTGCTGATGAATAGAAGCTGATTAAGGCTTTCCATCCTGCTTTTTAGGAAGGGATGGGTTTTAGTGAAGCTGAGGTACTTCTGACACTGGATACTATTGCAAGGAAAGGTGTGATATTAATCACCAAAAGTCTGGATTTGCACTGCTGGCCCTGACAGCTCTCAATGCTTGATGGCTTTAGGTAAGGCTGGGATTCCAAGGGCTGTGTGCCAGACATTGCCACCCTTTGCTTTTTTTTTTCTCTCTAGAGAGTCTCACTTTAAATTTAGGTCTGTTCTTATCAAGAATTTGAGGTGAACATGCCTACATTGCTGTGTACAGCCCTCTAGGAAAAGAAATACCAGATCCTTCTTACTTACTTACACCATCCAGGATATTTCTGCATCTACAGCTTTGATATTCTTACAAACCGGTTTAAACAGAAGAGCAAAGAAAACTAAATCTGTGAATAAAACTGATCGAACACAGAAATGTTCAAAATCTACCCAAAAAACATTATTAAAACCAAATGAACTTAGGTGTTGGTGCCAAAAAATGAATATATTTTATTTAACAGTAAAAGAGGCAAAGAGAAAGAAAGATAAAAGAAAGAAATAGAAAAAGAAAAGGCAGAGGGGCCACGGACAGGGAGAGAGTGGCAGTACCCAAAAAACATTATTAAAACCAAATGAACTTAGGTGTTGGTGCCAAAAAATGAATATATTTTATTTAACAGTAAAAGAGGCAAAGAGAAAGAAAGAGAAAAGAAAGAAATAGAAAAAGAAAAGGTAGGGGGGTTATGGACAGGGAGAGAGTGGCAGGGTTAGGTGGAACTGTATCACCCACCCCAGGGGCCCAAGGATGTCTCGTTGCTCCCCTCCATCTGCTCCTCTGGGTGGTGAGTGTCCTCTGACACTGCAAAGTCTGGAATGCAGTGGATCAGTAAAGGTTTTGGGCAGGTGGGAACGAAAAGGCAGAGGGGCCACGGACAGGGAGAGAGTGGCAGGGGTTAGGTGGAACTGTATCACCCACCCCAGGGGCCCAAGGATGTCTCGTTGCTCCTCTCCCTCTGCTCCTCTGGGTGGTGAAGCAAAGTCTAGAATCCAGTGGATCAATAAAGGTTTCAGGCAGGAACACCCCCGTGCCTCCTGAGGGGGGCTGGGTTTGCCCCTGTCCCTCGCAAGGCTCTTGATCTGTCACATCAAGTGCAAGTCTGGGGACCCCTCGGGGGGCCTGGGACAGGCCATGACTCTGCTGTCCCTGCAGGGATGTGGCTTTTCCCGGGGTGCAGGGCACACAGCTGGGCTCCTGTGCCCTGGGGGATGGTGGTTCACTGCCTCTGACCAGAGGGCTTTTCTCAGCACACACCCAAACCTCTCTTCCTCCCATCCTTTGGTGTGAGACTCTGTGTGAGCCTGGCCACTGCCAGCCCTGGGCTGCAGTGTCCACCAGCAAGGTGCTGAGCTGGATCCCTGGGAGTGCATCCCCAGAGCTGAGCTGAGCTGAGCCACTCTGTCTTGAATGGCCTCAGTCAGGATGTGGTGGTCCTGTTTTGCTACAATAGGCAAAAATCCTTCCTGAAGATGTTTAAGCCATAAATTATAACATTTCCATCTCTGACAGACATCCTTCCTGGAAGTCATCTTCCACTGAGCATCCCTGGGTGTAGGTGCTGGGAAATCTCTCAGTGCAAGCTTAGGAGTAGCTTGGCCCCTTTGATTTTTTTCAAGCTACTCTTTGTGTGTCTCATGGAATATTCAGAATTGGAAGGGATCCACAAGGATCATCGAGGCCAAGTCCTGACCTCAGGACACCCCCAAAATCACAAGTTTCATTCCTGTGTGAAAGATTACATGTGTGTATATATAGTAGAAAAGTAAAAATACCATCATTTTTGTGGAAATTTTAAGTGTGACCATTATTTTCCATCTAGAAATAGCTGGGTATCAGCAAGTGGTAGTCCCAGGCTGAGAAAGGACAAAGTGGGATGACTCTCCTGAGCAGCAGATGGAAGAAGGTGGATTTTAACTCCTGGCTGGCTTGCTGTGGGGCTCAGCTTTGTTTAGTGAGTGGTGTGAGTTCTTCCTGTAACACGCCTTAAAAGGGAAGTTCTCACTGAGGTAGTGGTTTAGCTCTGAGTCATGCGAGTGAAATGCTCAGGCTGTTTCTCTGACAAATGCAAATCCAAATTCCTGAAAGTGGTCTCACCCCAGACTCACAGAGCTTTGTCTTTCCTAGCTGCAAATAACAAAAAGAAATGGGAAGACTCCTTTCCTGTCTCCTTACTCAAATTTATCTTTGCTAAGTGGCCTGGTAAGTACAGGGACAGGAGTAGGGAGTGACACGCTGAATACGGCCAGGAAACATCTTTGTAATTACACTGTTTGTTACCATGGAGATCCCAGGAAATGGCAGTGTTGGTGTTTGGCTGGTGAGCACCAGGTTCTGCACCTGAGCAAGGGCTTTTTGTCTTTTCCAGTTCATCTTCCACCAGGGCTGGCTGACCTTTCTCCCCTGAGCCATAAATATCTTTGTACAGCAGTAAAACCCAGTGCTGTGCATGTGTACAAGTACAGCCTGAAGAATGCTCAGTCCCAGCAAGTCACAGGTGGCTGAGTATTAAAAATCCAGAAAACATGGAATCAGAACTGCCAGCACAGACAGCAAACAGCATCCCCCCAGCACCGTGTATATTACAATTAGTAGGAAAAGCCATATTCCTTGTTTTATTGCTATTTATCAGAATGTATCTCTCTGCAGGAACTGGGGCAGAAGGAGGGAGGGAGGGGAGGACAAGGATCAGAATAACTGGGATAGACACAGAGACGGAAGGGTGATGTGGCAGTGAATGGGCAGCAGGCAGGAGCTGGCCTTCCCCGAGCAGGCTGCACCAGGCAGGCAGAGCAGCTGGATGGAAGCTCTGCACTCAAACATTGACTGGTTTTACATTTTCCTAGCAATTGCAAACTGTCACCTGGAGGATTTTCTAGTCCAGGTTCCACAAGGCCTGCTAACAGCAAATGCCAGCAGCTCTGCTATCCCTGGGTCGGATTTGATAATAATGTTTACACTGGTAACTGAGCACACTCAAGGCCCTCAGTGGAAGCTTGGGTAGTCCTGGCTGGGAGCAAGGCTCACTGTGCCCTCTAGTGCACTCTGCCTGCAGCTCCACTGTCCCTCACCAGAAGGACACGAGGAGAAGGAAGATGAAGCTCTTTTCCCCAGCAGTGGCTCAGCACGGCAGGTTCCTGTGCTTCCTGCACAGGACTAGAATTACACAGCACAGTACCAGAGTCAAGGCACAGCCCCGTGGTTGTGGTCTGGTGGGAGCTGACCCCCACAGGAACCCGAGTGCTGCCTAAGCACAGATCAAAAAATGCACATTCACAAGTGAGGAAAGAAAAACTCTGTACTCTGATTTCCTTTTATCCTAGATAAAGCCCATACAAAAAATAAAAACAAAATCAAAACACCAGTTGAGTAAGTGTTTCTCAGTGTCAGCTTACAGCTGGGGTCCTGGATCTGGATGGGGCTGTGCTGCCATCTCCCATGTTCCTTTCAGCTCCCCCACTGCAGAGCATACAGAACATTTCCAGCCCCAGGTTTCCCAGGAATAAGCTCTGTAGTAAAGCTGGGCTTTTTTTGCCTTACATTGCTTATTGCAGAGGTGTAAGGGGGTTCTGGGTGGTATGAGGCTTGTTCTTTCTGCACTGAGCTGAACCTGGGACAGCAAACTGGGAAGGAGGAAGTCACAGATTCCTATCACAGAATATTCTCAGTTGGAAGGGATGGACCAACAAGGATCATCAGGTCCAACTCCTAAGTGAATGGCCCATCCAGGAATCAAACCTGCAAAGCTGGTGTTTTTAGCACCATGCTCTAACCAACTGAGCTAATCTCAAATTGTCTTACTTCTCCAAGATTTCTGAAGAAAGTATTGCTCTCCTCCTGTGGTCAGAGAACCTTTTCTGTGTGACCAGTTTTGTGAGAGCCAGAGACCTTGTTATACCTGCCAATGGGTGGGGCTGATGAAACAGGTAGCAGGCTTTGGGGAGAGAAACCTTCTGAAATGTTGCCTGGCTCTGATTTCCACAGGACTCTATGTACTGGTGGGAGCAGGGGCCATCATGTCAGCAGTTGGATTTTTCGGGTGCTGTGGAGCAGCGCGGGAGTCCCAGTGCTTAATTGGAACAGTGAGTAAAAGGTTTCCAGTGCCTGGGCTGTGCAGGGAAACCATCCAAAGCATTCAGGGCTTGGTGTCATTAATGGGAATATCTTTACAGTCCTGACCTGAAAGGTCTTATGTCCTTTTCTTGGCTAATCCAGTTTCTCTGGACTCAGCAGCCACCATGCATACATGCAGAGAGGTGCCCTTGCTTGTCCCTTGTGATGTATTACCTGGAATTATTCTCTGATTTTCCTGAAGCTCCCTCTGAGCCACATCTTTGCCATTTCCCCTTGGTTTGAATGTGACAGGGAATCTGCCTTGGCAGCCCTGTGCAGAGCCCCCTCAGGAGCTTTGGTTCAGGGTGGGCTGTTGGGGCCTGGGGAGGATGAGGGGCTGGTGGCAGCCCCCATGAACAAACTACACTTATGAGAGATTCTCTCCTTCCTCTGCAGTTCTTTGCTTGCCTGTTGGTGATATTTGCAGGTGAGGTCACTGCTGGAGTATTTGCCTTCATAGGCAAGAAAGTGGTAAGTAGCAAACAGCTTCTGACGTAATGATGGGGTAGTTATGGATTGCAGTGCCCGATGACCTGGCTCTTCCATAGGAAGACTTTCTAGGAGACTTTTCCTTGCAAGACTCTCTGACATTCTTATCTGGAGCCAATGACAGCTTGTGTTATCACAAGTTTGGAATAGGATGAAGTTTTTGCCTCCTCTGCTCAAGAAAAAGTGGAGGTGTGGCTCAGCCTTGAAGGAACATCAAGGGGAGCTGTAAGGAAAGAGGGCATTGCCTGGGAGAAGGGCAAACAAATTCGGCACTGAACTTCCCCAACTCAGAGTGTTTAACCAAAGCACAGAGCCTATGAACACTCTGAGCCTCTGAATGGCACCAGGCCACAAACCCTCCTGGCTTTTGAGTCACCATACCTGTTTACCAGGCACCACTTTTTGCCCTGGAGGTTGAGGACACAAAGTGAAAGTTTTGGATCAGGGGTAAGACTGATTTGCAACTCATTTAAATGTGATTTCTGCAGGCAATACAGGAAGCCCAGAAAATCTATGAAGATGCTTATGAGGACTACATGAAAAACCCAGTGGGGAAGATGAACAGTACCATCTATCGCTACCACGTGGCTGTGAGTACTCCTCCACCTAAACCCCTCCTCCACTGCTCCACTGTCACACTGCCCATTAGAATCCGGAATTCCTCCCTCTGAGGTATGGCAAAATAGAACTGAATGTACTTAAAATCCCATCAGAGGCTCACAACCCTGAGAGTTCCTTGAAGGCTCTGCAGAAGTCTGGTTTTTGGATCTCGACATTTGAAAGTGCAATTAGCCAGGCTTTGAAATTTCTGATGCTTCTGGTCTTTGTGTGCAGAAGAAATGACTGTTATGGCTCTTCTGGATATTGAAATCCACAGATAAATACTTGCAAATGCAGTGAAATATCTGCATCCCTCTGCATCTGTCAGAGAAAACATGACCTGTGTCCCAGGACCTACAGCGTGGCTGAACCAAGTCAGTGAAAGACCAAAGGCACATGTGTGACACAGTTCAGGCCACCCAAAAAGTGAATGTCTGAATCAGAGTTACAACCTGTGACTTCTTTAATCCTCTTTGTGTCCATCTTGGATCTGCACTGCCTCCCATGGAGAGCAAGCCCAAGCTTTGTTGCTCCTTACAGCAATTCCCACGTTCTTTAGAACAAACATTTCACAACCTCAGACCCTTTTGTCCTTCTCCCATAGCTCTTATTTCTGACCCAAAGAGGAATTCCAAGCATTTTGTGGGAGATAGTCAAACAGGAAAAACAAACCCTCTGAAACTCTGATTTATTACTGTCTCCAAACCCAGCACGATGTTGTGTCAGAAATAAAATTCCAGCATTCTCTGCTGTACTTCTTGTACATTGCCCATAATTCTGTACGTGATATTTGAACTTTCTGCATTCTCCCTTTAACAACTCCTGTTTTCTTGTAAGCCAAGGATCTGCTTTTCCCAAATCCACTTGTTTGCTTTGTTATGAAATACTGTAATAAAAATCCCTTCTGGTCATTGTTGTTAATACAAATGTGACTGTTTGCTGTGGCCTCAGAGAATTGAAAGTAATTTTTGAAAATTTTGTCCCACACAGTTGGAACTCTACCAGAAGCAGCAGTTTAAATATAGAGAATAAGGTTATTATTTGAACTGTACAAATTCTTTTTTTAAAAGTTATTTATTGTCTCACTTTCAATATGAAAGCATGTCCCTAAATCAGGACAAAATAATAACTGACTTTCATTATGAAACAGTCTGTGGTTTCCCCTCTTTGATCCTCCATCTCTCTCTCATTCAGCTCCAGTGCTGTGGTAAAGGTAATGTGGAACAACAAACAGGATTACCCTGTCCAGAGAACATCCAGCTGCCAAAGGCAAGTGTCCTCTGTCCTGCTTGTTCTAATCACCTCTTTGTGTCAGTTCTTTAGTCAAATTGGAGACATTCTGTAAGTAACAGAAAGGAAGTTCTTTTTACCTTGCAAATTCCAGCATAAAATTCCTTATGGAATGGAGCAGAGTGGAGGCAGAATTAAGCTGGAGGTCATATTGCCCTCAGTCATGACACCTGTTTGTGGCATCCCATGGTAGCTGAGACAATATTGCACCATCTGAAAGGAAAAGGGAGAAGGAGGGAACAGAACAGGACCCCAAATTCCCCATGAAAGCTAGATTTTGGCAAGTGTCCACCTTAGTCATGCACGGAGCCTCCTGACTGGAAACTTCCTTGGTGTTAAGAAAGATATTTCTGTACTTTCTGTCTTTTCTGGAATCTGCTTGTGAGTTCAATGTCAAAATGAAGCACCAAACCTCTTGATTTAGCATGGTCTGTTATATAAAGGAGTTTAAATTTAGGGAGAAAACTGAGTGTACGAAAATTACTTGCATGTGTCAGCCTCTCCAGGCAAGAGGTACAGATGCCTCACCAGGAAAGGGAAGATGCTGGGAAAATTATCCAGCAAAACCCAAGGTTTAGATGCAGGAATTAGGATGGTGACTGCACTAATATTTTTGTGTTTATCTGTTGCTCAGTGAGAACAGCTGATAGAATTTATTGAAATATAGATTTCCAGGCATAAAAAAAATATTTTAATTTTGTTTTTAACAGAACTGCCTGGCTGAAATTCAGAATGTAATTGATACTGAGCTGCGCTTAGTTGGAATTGTGGGAATTGCAATTGCTAGCATCACAGTGAGTAAATCTGTGTTCTCCAATCTCCCCTTGAGCCCACTACCCTGTCCCTTTCTCAAAGCTTTGTGGAAGGTATTTTGCAGCAACTGGTGAGATTCCTCAATTCTTCTTGCTTCCAGTGTGTCTTCTCCCTGGGAATTGCCCCCATCAGTGCAAGCAGAGCTGTGTGACTGTGCTTTTCAAGTTCATTTTGTGTCCTTATACAGGATCCCAAATAATGGTAATCTTTTGTTGTAAGAGTAGGAGAGCAGAGGTCACATGAACCAAACTGAAAAGCAAAAGGCTGTAGCAGCATTTACTGTATTCCAAAACAACTGCACCCTGATGCTTTCAGTCCTTTAGTTTACGTTCCTGAGTGTTCATGAGGAACAGAGAATTCCCATTAGAGCTGTGGCCAATAGATGTCACCCTGTCCCAAGGACACAGCAGGACCTGCAGGCTGGGGCTCACCAGGCTTTGGCACAAAGCTTTTCCCAGCACGTCTGGGCCATGAATTCATTCAGACCCGGACACCAGCAGCATGAGGAGCCACAGTATGAGTAAAGAAACACTCCTGTAGCTGCTGGGAAGAGCAGGACCTTCACAGATTTATGTGGACACTGAAAAGCAGCCGAAGGGTTTCTGCAGGTAACAGAAACCATGGTGTGCAAATTAAACAATCCTGGGGTTTGAACGAAACATGAAGGGACTCAAAAATACAGTGGGGGTGGGACAGAGATCAATAACGTCAAGGACACACCAGAACTGGCATGGTGTCCCCTTGGATCCCCACCTCAGAACAGCGAGGGTCCTGAAGTGACCACAACAGCAGCAGAAATGCACCTGCACCTTTTCCTGTGCTTGTTTCTGCCACTTGCTGGGCTGTGACAGCTCAGCTGTGCCCAGCCTTAGGGACATGTGTGGGGAGGGAACATCAACCAGTGCTTGAAGTGCCCATCTCCCACCCTTAGCAGCGCAGCCTCGGGGGGCAGCTGCTTTGCAGAACTGACCTGTGGCAAGAAGCAGAGCCTCTGGCAACAGCCACTGCTCTCTGCTTTTATCATTCCCTCTAGTGACCAAGCTCCCTGACACGAGTGGGGGTTTAGGTTTCATGTGCAGTCTTGCTCTTGAGCACAGAACTATTCAGAGCTCAGCAGCAGCTCCGGGGGCTCTGCAGTCACCCTCTGCTCTGACTCTGATGTGTGTCCTGTTCCATTCTGAAACTCAGAACACTCCAGTGCAATACCAGGATACCACCAAGAGTCACAGTTATTATGTGACTTAAATTGATGTTAGTAACATTAATATTTGGGGCAGTTGTGCTTGGCTGGACATTTAGAAACCTGTATGAAACCAGTGTGAGCTGATAAAATCAGTGAAACCTCCTCCATGTTTATTGTCTGATGTTTTGGGGTTTGTGGATGGAAGCAGTCACCAGTCTGCCATAGGGACCTTCGGATTGTCTGATATGCAAATTGTTTTATAACTGTTTTGTAAGTGGATCCCTAAATGACATCCCTTCTCTTCTAGATCTTTGGCATGATATTCAGCATGGTTCTGTGCTGTACGATCCGTAACATGAGAGAAATGATCTAAAACTGTCACTGCACAACTATGCCCCAGGAGTTCCAGACTAAGCTTACAAGAAGTGCTCTTCTACCCAATTTAATAATTGTAATGCATTTTAATCAGTGTTTTAACATACTGAGAGGAAAATATCCTGTTAGGTGATCAGGTGAATTGTATTAGTTACAGTAAAACTGAAGTGGACAAAAAAGGGGTTTAAAATGTCCTTTTTAATGAAAAAAGAGCAAAGATGCATCTAAGACTAATTTGATTTTTAATGTTTATATATGTGCAATTAAGAGTTTACACATGTATAGACTTGTGTAAGCATATGCATGTGTCTCCTTACAAACACCTCTGGATGTGAGCAGGTCCCTGGAGGTGCAGTACCTGTCCAGGTAGATGCCTGCAGATGGAACACGTTGTGTGTGCACATCCCCCAGGGACACAGTGCTCAGAACCCCTTCACACAGAGCCCCTGTCTGCCAAGAATTAGCAGAGGGACAAATGCCATTGTAAAAAGTAAGACCTATGATCCATTTTGTGACTTTATTTTCCAAAGCCCAAACAGAACAGAACTAATAAAATTGTACTTTATTTAAAAAAAAAAATTAATGCCTTAGGGCCTGCTCCAGCAAACGTGAAGAGTAGACCCACTGACTTCACTGCCATGCAGAGACTGGGTATTTGTTTTTTGTAGGACTGGACCCTTCATGCAAATGCAGAAAGCTCTGGGGGAGAAAACACATCCAAGGAGATCCAGGCTAAGGAAGAGGGGGAAAGAGGTGGGAAGCTGGCAAGACCAGGCAGTCATTTGGGACCAACTGCAGTGCAAAGTGTGCTGAAGCTTCCCAAGCTAGGCTGAGATACACCAAAAAACCCAACTGTGAGTTCAAGGGGCCACTAGAATCCACATTCAGCAGCCTCTTTATCCCAAAAGCCTCACTGTGGCTACAAGCTGGTGCAGGAGTGGAGCCTAGGTGCAGAAAAGCAGCCCCTTTGTCAGATCTCTAGAGAATCTAACTGGCCTGTGGAAGCCAAACCAAGAGCGAAAGCATCAGAAAAAGACACACAGCACTTTAATATCCTCAGTTTCTGCTTCTGTGACTATCACAGCTTCCACGGGGCTCTTACCTCAACCTCTCACCCCTTCCTGGGGGCAGAAGGCAGGAAAGAAAGATGGGACATTTTTACAGAGCCATGAAGTTTTCTTACTGGCACCTTTAGATTGCTTGTCAGGTAGAAAAATTACACTGTGTGCTTGAAATACCTCAGGGCTTGCGTTTACATAGTTTTATTCTATATTTTAATTTTGCTATTTGTCATATTTATTCATAAGAGAATGTTCCTTTTGAACCAGCCTAGAAGGGAGAAAGGTTGTCCCCAGAAAAATGAGTTACATCAAAGGCTCAGGATCTCTTAATTTTTGGCTTACTTGAGATAATTCACCATTTCAGAGAACAACTTTTTGCTAAGTATGCCCCCATAGCAGCAGATCTGGTGATCACCAGTTCAGATTCCTGATGCAGTTGTTCCAGACATGCTGGGGAGAAGTTCAGTTAAACTACACCTTCCAATAGACCATTGTCTAAGAGGCCTTGGAATTTACAAGTCATGGGCTCCTTGTTCCACTGAAACACAGAGGAACAAACTGGGATCTCAGGAAATATGTTATGTGTGGGATATACCACCCTCTATCTATAATTTATTTTTTATCTCGTATTCCCCAAAGCAACTCAAACTCCCATCAGTTTTCTGTCACTTCAGGACTTGGGGTAGTGCTGCTGCTCCAAGTCTCTGTTTAGTTGACACATCTTGCTGTGTCTTACATGGATTTCTCTTTTCCAGTCATCCAACCACGAGCTGTGGCACTGCACTGAGAGCTGGGCACGGCAGGCACTGACTGAGCCATGTCCAGGCTGGGCTTTAGGCTGGCAGGGACACGTGAAATCACACACCAGAAAAGAGTGAGGCTTGTGTCACTCTGTCACAGCTGATTAGCAATGGATTAATTAAAAACAGGGCCTGGGACCTCATTCTGCAAGAACCAGCACAGGAAGCAGGGCCCTGCTCTGCTGCTTGCTCCTAAGACAGGCTCAGCTGGGAGAACAGCAGTGGCAGCAAATCCATGAGGGTGTCAAGCTGAACCTCAGAGATCAGTTTAACACAGCAGCCAGCAAAGCCATCCTGGCTCCCAGGTGTGCCTGAGACTGTCCCCACAATGGCTGTGCTCTGCAGAGATGATGGGGTCGTGCCCAGCTGGGGTGTGCTCTCCCAAGGTAGTACTGGCAGAAAGAAGAAACTCTTGCAAAGTGTCATTTTTGCCAGCTTCCAGGAAAATCAGTAAAAATAGCACCAGAGCCAATGGTTCAGGTTCCAAGACTGTCGTCCTGCAGGGATAGAAACTGCTGCTCTGCTGCTTGCTCCTAAGACAGGCTCAGCTGGGAGAACAGCAGTGGCAGCAAATCCATGAGGGTGTCAAGCTGAACCTCAGAGATCAGTTTAACACAGCAGCCAGCAAAGCCATCCTGGCTCCCAGGTGTGCCTGAGACTGTCCCCACAATGGCTGTGCTCTGCAGAGATGATGGGGTAGTGCCCAGCTGGGGTGTGCTCTCCCAAGGTAGTACTGGCAGAAAGAAGAAACTCTTGCAAAGTGTCATTTTTGCCACTCAGGACAAGCCAGCTTCCAGGAAAATCAGTAAAAATAGCACCAGAGCCAGTGGTTCAGGTTCCAAGACTGTCGTCCTACAGGGACAGAAACTCACTGGAAATAAAGCAATTTCCTTGTGTTACGTTCCCCCTCATAATGACAGTGTTCTATTCATTTTAAACACATCTACACATTCCTCACATTCATAGCACCAGAATGTAATTACAGGAGCAGAGTTTATCTTTTTATTTATTGTTTCTTGAGTAAGTTGGAAGATGCCCACTCCTGCTTGGAGATGCACTGAATGCCAAGGCAGCTTGCAGAACCTGCTGTGCTTCCCCAGCCCTCCACTCCCCCAGAAGTACAAAACCACCCCAGTGCCTTAGGAAAACGGGAAAAAGTGGTAGAAAAAACCTTCTATAAATTCAGACTCGAGCCACCACACTTTCTGCTGAAGTGTTTTGGGTTTATGATTTGGTTTTTTCTTCCTCTAAAGAAAGCATTACTTTTCTGAGCATTCCTGCATAAGCTCTAGGGTTGCAGTTATTTAGGTCTAGGGGATACTTGCACTGCACACCAGGAACAGGACAGTACCTGTTACTGGTTTAGTTCTCCAAGTTATTGCTATAAATTAAGCTGGAAATCAACACATTATTCATATACTAGTGCCTTTAACAGAATCCAGGGATAAAGGTCTTTTGTAGTTTCCTGCTGTTGTGAGGTGCTTAATATAATTACAGTTTTCTCTGCATCTTAGTAACTGAAGGTATTTTTTCAGAATTACTGCCACATAAGGCAGCAAAAATACCCATTTTTCCTGTCCCTTGCACCTGTGTCAGAGGAAAGTGACAAAAGATCAGATCTCTCCAGGTGGTATAACTTTTAAAGCACATCACACACGTTTTCTTATTCTCCTGTCAGTTTGTTCTAAAGCATAAAGATGTTGATGCCCTTATTGTGTCTCTAAACACCCTTATTCACATTTCCCTTGTCTAATTTTTCTAAGTTACTGATCTCAGTGGGAGCTTCCTTTGTCACAGGGAAACCTCAGCCATTTTTGGTACCTCTCAGAAATCACACAGCAGCTGATGGAAGCTCAGCCCTGTGATGTCCCTACAGTGAACAGTAGTATTTCACTTGTCTTGATACTGATAAGTTTTATAACAAAACACGTTTCATGTGTCTTGAAACAGAAATTGAGTTGTTCTTAAGCCCTCAAATGCTGTATTGCACAGCCTTTGCAGGCTATGGATTAACAGCATTGGATGCTGTGCATAGGAAATGTACAGAAATAAAGCTTTTCAATCTTTTTCCTCTCTATTGGTGCTCCAGCCACGAGGTTCTCCAAAACACTAACCAATTCCTGGATAATGTCTCTGGCACAGCATAAATTCTGATTTTGGAGAGAACTGGCATTTCAGTTCATGCCGCCAAGTCTGTGGCAGAATTACCTCTTGCTTTGAAAGAAAACAAACTTAACTCTGTGGCTGAAATTAGCTTTCACTTCCCTATGATGTGTTCCGAAGTGGCGTTTTATCAGCTTTGTGTCTTGAATTTGAAACAACTTCCTAATAAAAATAACCTGGAATAAACGACTCCCGGAGAGAACTCGATCTGCGCGGCCAGAGCCCCCCAGGCCCTGAGGGCACCGCGGGGCTGCCTCCGCCTCACCTGCTGCGTCCAGGACACCGGGTGGGCTCCAGGTGACGGAGCAGCCTTCGGCCAGCGAGGCAGGCAGGGCCCGGACTGGGCACCGGGGTTGGGATTGGGTTTGACATTGGGATTGGGATTGGGATTGGGATTGGGATCGGAATCAGGACCCGCCGGGATCCGAACCCAGCACTGCCGGAATTCCCCTCAGGGACCGGCGTGCCGGTGAGGCCCCGCCTATTGGGATTGGGATTGGGATTGGGATTGGGATTGGGATTGGGATTGGGATTGGGATTGGGATTGGGATTGGGATTGGGATTGGGATTGGGATTGGGATCGGGATCGGGATCAGGACCCGCCGGGATCCGAACCCGGCACTGCCGGAATTCCCCTCAGGCCCCGGCGTGCCGGTGAGGCCCCGCCCACAGTGGGCGGTACTCGCTCCCCATTGGCTGCTCGCTCGGGCGGGGCGGTGCCACAATCCCACAATGGTTTGGGCGGGAACGAGCCCTAAAGCTCTTCCCACTGTCCCAGGCTGCTCCAAACCCCAATGTCCAGCCTGGCCTTGGACACTTCCAGGGATCCCGAGGCAGCCACAGCTGCTCTGGGCACCCTGTGCCAGGGCCTCAGCACCCTCACAGTGAACAATTTCTTCCTAATATCCAGTCTAAACCTACTGTCTGTGTGAAGCCCTTCCCCCTTGTAGTCTCCCTTCTGGTACTGGAAGGCCTCAATAAGGTCACCCCGAAGTGATCCTGTATGTTGGACAATCCTCTAGGTTGGACAATTCCAACTTCCCAGCAGAGCTGCTCCATCCCTCTAATCATCCTGGTAGTCCTCTGGACTGGCTCCTGCTCCTTCCTGTGCTGGGCGCCCAGGGCTGGAGGCGGCTCTGCAGGTGAGGGTCTCACCTGAGCAGGGCACGGGGGCAGGATCCCCGCTCTGAATGCTGCCCACGCCGCCTCACACACCGGGCAGCGGCGGCGGCGCCGGCGGGCGCGGGGCCGGTGCCGGCGGGGCCGCCCCT